ATTCATAGGTCCCAACAACTTGGAGATAGATCATTAATGGAATTCCATAGCCATCTACTTTTTGCCCTGTGCTATTTTACCATTTTCACCAATAATAAAAGCTAGCATCTATATGACTCTTTTAGGTTTATGGAGTACTTTACATATGTTAACTCATTTGATCTTTAGAACAGCCTTGTGAGGTAGGTGCTATTATTATCCTCGTTTTACAAATGAGGAAGCTGAGGCACAGAGAGACTAAGTAATTTGCCTAGTGTCAAATAGCTAGTGTTTGAGGCAGGATTTCAACTCAAGTCTTCCTGATTCCAAGTCCTGTCCTCCATCCCCTGGACCACTTAGCTGAACTAACTTGACCAAAGGCACAGAGGGAATGATTATCAAATTTGGAGACAACACAAAACTGGGAGGGAGAAAAAGCTAACAAATTTGATGATGGAGTTCAAGATCCAAAATTTAATAGAAATAAACATAAAGTCCCATAGTTGGATTAAAAATAAATCTACTTTACTTGTAAAGAATGATAAGAATAATTTATATTTACATAGTGTTTTAAGACTTGCAAAGCCTTACATTGTGTGTGTGTTTTTTTTCATGAAGGTAGTGCAAATATTATTCTTATTTTGCAGACTAGGAATTCAATGCAATAAATATCTGCAGAAGTAAAAGGGAGACATATCTAGAAAATAGTTGAATAAAAAAAATCTGGGGGTTTTAGGGTATTATAAACTTAATGAGTCCACAATGCAACATGGCCACCAAGATCTGATGTGATTCTTATCCAAGGTAACCTTGCATCTGTTTTGTGTGTATTTTGCATATACCTCTATATGTACATGTTATCTTCCCCATTAGAATGTAAGCTCCTTGAAGGCAGAGACAGTTTTACTTTTGTCTTTGTATCTCAAGTGCCTAGCAGAGTACTTGAAATATAGTGATTGTTTGATCGATTAGGTTGCCTTGGAAGGTATAGCATCTATGACTCTGGAGGTGAGAGTTCTACTATCTTCTGCTCTGGTCAGACCACATCTGGAGAATTGTGGTGGTTTGTGGTAACACATTTGAGGAAGGTAGTTGACAAGCTGGTTTTCCCCAGAAGATAGTTACCAGGATGGTCAATGGCTTTGTGATCATGTCACATGGAGATTTGTTAAAGAACATGGGGATGTTTAAAACTAGAGAAGAAAAGGGTTAGGTAGGACATGATAGCTATCTTTACTTATTTGAAGGGCTGACATGGGGAAGAAGGTTTTGTTTGATCCCAGGGGGCAGAATTAAAAGTAATGAGTTGCAGTAAAAGAGAAACAAATTTGGGTTCAACGTAAGGAAAAAAAGCTTCCCCCAAAATAGAGCTATACAAAAATAGAGAAGGTTGCCTCTTCATTGGCAGAGACTGAATGACTGTTTGTAGAGTATGTGGTAGTGCGGATCCTTTTGGAGGTATGCATTGGAAAAGCTGGTTCCTGAGGCAATTAGAACTGCACAAACCTGGAACTGGCCATCTTTGGGGGTAGTGAGTTCACCTTTACTAGATCTCTTTAAACATAGGCAGGATGGCCACTTTTCTCTGTTATACAGGAAATTTCTGTTCAGATGTAGGATGGACTCTGAGGTTTCTTACAATTCTAGAATCTTATAATTTCATGAAATAACACAATTCCTGCCCCCAGGGAGCTGATGTATATCAGTGTACATAAATCTCGCATGTACTCATATTCTGTTTTGTATAATATTCTCACTCTCCCCCAGGTTGGGAGCTCCAAGATGGGAGGTACTATAGTTTAAGATTATAGGATCATCAATTTAAAACTGGAAGGGACCTAAGAGGTCATCTAGTTGATTCTAGTCCAGCCTCCCTATTTTATAGTTTAAGAAATGGAAACTCAGGGAGACTACACTACTTACCCAAGGTCAGAATACAGAGTTGTACCCAGGTCCTCCGATTCCAAATCCAACATTTTTTTTTTCAATTTTACCAAGCTGTTTTCACCTTATCTCTGTTGCACCTAATGTCTGTCACAAAATCTTAAATATAGTAGGGAAGTGATCAATGTTTGTTGAATTGAATGACTACCTCTCAAAAAACAATCTTTTACCTTTTTTTGGGGGGGGGAGAGAAGGTTACTCTAAAGGGAAAAGAACAGTCATAATGGAAAGAGGAATTTTATTATAACCGCTTTATGACTTCAATCCTTCAGGGATCTGTGATTTCTTCAGCAGAGGAACTTTCTCCACTGACTCAGATTATAGACTCTGTGATTTAGGGGATGGTTTTCTAGAAGTTTTGTACCTGAACAGTTCATCAACCCATATCCACACTGTTGCTGTAACTCCTTACACCTGATTAGGCTGGTCCTTGGAACAAGACATGCCACTACTGGACCTGGGAAGCCTTTCCATGTTTATAGCAACTGGCTCCTCCTAAATGGCCTTTGAGAACCCATCACTCAGTAAGGTATTTTGGAGTGGACTTTAATAATGTGAGAAGGTGAATATCTGTTATTACTGTTCTATTATTTCTGTACTTATCATCATTTTTTATCATTTACTTTCCATCTTCTCCAATAGATTTTAGGATTAACTGTGAAAAATATAGTTTTATTATTATTTACCATATAGACATATGTATCATTAAAACTTTATGACCATCAAGTTTCTATAGCTATTTCAAAATAAAAGATTTCTGTGACTTTCAAAAGTTTGACTGTGTCTTTATATAACCCTCAAAGGACACTCAGAAGATCTACATTTAGCTGTGGTCTTGAAGGTCATGTAGTCTAACTATTTCATTTTGCTAAAGGGGAAACTGAAGCCCCCATAGGTCAGAAAACTTGACCAAGACCCCAAGTATAGGATTCAGGCTTCAAAGACCCTCCAACTCTAAATCCAAAGATGTTTCTTCTATATTCCTACAACTTTCCTGAGTCAGTCAGTCACTACGTGCCTACAAGGAGCCAAGTGCTGTAATGAAGATGTAACAAAAGCCAAAAGACAGTCCATGCTCTCTATTTAATGGAGGAGACAACATGAAAACAACTAAGTATGGACAAGATATTTACAGGATAAGTTGGAGAGAACAGAGAGAAAGCATAGGAATGAAAGGGGATCAGGAAAGCCTTCTTGTAGAAGGTGAAATGCTGTTCTGTGATGGCTCTTATATTACTGTTCTCAATTTTAATTTAACTTGTTTGTTAGCCTTTCTTCCCTGCTAGATTGTTTGCTCTCTGAGGGAAGGAGCAGTATTTTTTTTCCTTCCTTTATCTCCCTTTAGTGCCAGGCTCATAACTTGGCACAAGGGAATGCTGAGTAAACATCTGTTGAATTTAAAGGTGGTGGTGATGAAAAATGGAGCCCTTCTCTTTTCTTGTCCAGTGGGAGAAGCCTTCCTCAAGTAGACTTCAAGCTCAGGGCACCTTTCCTGGGGGATTATCTCACCGCAGGGCAGTGTGTTTAACCTGGATTCTGGGCTCAGGTCCTCCTGAGGCTGGTACCCTACACCTTGTTTCCAAATTGCTCCATAGAATGTTGAAATCAGAAAGAGCTTGGGAGGTCATCATTCATCTTTGAAGCCCTCTTATGTTACAGATCAGGAAACTGAAGCTCAACCACAGGAAGTGATTTGCAGAAGGCCACACTGCTAATAGTGACAAGGCAAGAACTTTAACCTGTCTCTCCCGCCAAAGTCCAGCGCTGTTTTCACCACACTGATCTCCTTGCCTCTGACAGATAACTAAGAACCAAGCTCTCTAAATGGCGTGGTTCCTTCAGGGTCTTGAGAAGTTCTTTGGGCATTTGTTTGTAGGGTATCTTCCGGGAATGTTATGGAGGGTCCTTGAGTCCTCCTCTGTTCCCCAACTCTCCCCTTCCTCCTACTGGGGGCTCTAAGGCAGCCAAGGGTTAAAGGCTTCTCTGGCCAAACCCCGACGCCCCCTACCCAGCCATGGATGTGTTTCCTTCATCCCTCCTCGGGTCCACCCCATGCTGCAGTAGTCCTAGAAGGAGAGGACCTTAGAACTTGGGACGGGAGGTATCAGAGTCGGAAGGAGCCTTAGAACCAGAAGGTCCCTGTAGGCTATGGAATGCCCTTAGAACGCAACGTCAGAGCCAGGCCGTGATCTTTGGAAACACAGGCTAGGGAAGTGGACGCGGCGTCTTAGAACGTGGACGGCCAGAGCTCCGAGGGACCTCGAGCCATGGGAATGCTGTTGCTGAAAAGGCCCTCGGAACCTAAGCTACTGGGGCGGAGAGGGGGGCCGTAAAGGTCACCCCTGAGCCTCATTTTTGGGGAGCAGAGAACGAAAGTGACTTTCCCAAGGTCACAGGGCTACCCGGGGGCGGACCAGCGAGACTGCGACCCAAGGCTCCCGAGCTCTTTTCCCCACGGCGTCCTGCCTCCCCTCCCAGAGCCCTGAGAGGGCCAGCCTGCCACGGCCAGTCCCTGGAGGTGGGGGTGGACCGCGTGGGGGAGGGGGAGGGGGAGGAGGCCAGGGGCAGGGCGGGGCTGGGCGCTCCCCTCCTTTCCTTCCTCCCCTTCCCCGTGGGGGCGCGTGTCTCAGAGTCGCTGCGGGCAGGGTGGGGGGTGGGCGAGGGCGGGGGGAGCTCGCTACTGCCGCTGCCGCCGCTGCCAGCAGGGCGGCCGGGCAGCTCGGGGCAGGGCAAGGCTGAGCTCGGCGAGGTGGGCTGCGCTCTCCCGCTCGCTGGCTGGGCTGAGCCGCTGGGGGTGGGGGTCGGCGGGGGGCGGGGGGGGGGTGCTGCTGCTGCCGTTGCCGTTGCCGCCGCCGCCGCCGCCGTCGCTGCCGCCTCTGCTGTTACGCCAGCCTCGCCGCCTCTCGCTCTGATTCTGCGCATAGGCAGCCCCGGAGCCTGTCATTCTGCAAAAACACAGTTTACTCAACACACACACACACGCACACACACACACGCACACGCACACACTCACACGCGCACACACACTCGCACTCCTCGCACACTCGCACCCTCGCGCGCGCACGCACACACACTCGCACTTCGGGAGCACAGCGAGGAGGGAGAGAGAGGGAGCCAACGAGAGCGGGGCGCAGGGCGCGGGGAGCCCCAGGCACACGCACCGAGAGCGAGCCAAGTTCCGCAGCCCAGCATGGCTTCGGGGGACCTTTACGAGGTACGCTAGGGCTCAGCCCCGCCAGCCGGGAGCCGGGAGCCGCGGGCACGGCCGGCCGCGGGCGGGGGGGGCGGCGCGCGGGGACCCTCCGGAGTTCTCCCGGCAGAGGGCTGGAGAAGGGGAAGGGAAGGCGGGGAGCAGGGAAGGGGGCGCGAGGGATGTAGCGATCTCTTCCCTCCTCCTCCTCCCCCTCCTTCTCCTTTTCCTCCTGCTCCTCCTCCTCTTCCTCCTCCTCCCTGCTTCTCTCCCTCTCTGTTCTTCTCTTGCTCCCTCTTTCTTTTCCCCACTCTCGAACTCAAGCTACTTTGCGCCAGCCCAAGGCCTTGCAAGGGGAAGGAGGAGGAGGAGGAGGAGGGAGGGAGGAAAGGAGGGAGGGAGGAAAGGCGGGCGGGCGGGAGGGAGGACGAGGGGGAGAGTTAGCGGTACTGTGGGAGGTGTTACTACCGCGAGGAGCCGCGGCGGCAGAGTGGAGAAAGTCCAGGTAAAGTCGGAGCTGGACGTGCTGGATTTGCAGATTAGGGCTGCGCGGTGGCTGGGGGGTGGAGGGCGACGTGGGCGTGAAGCGAATGAATTCCTTCCCTCGCCTTTGGAGGGAAGCTGGTGGCCGGGAGGAGAGGGAGTGCCCGCAGCGGGGGGCCGAGGTCCAGTTCCTGATCTGGACAGGTTTGGCAGAGGCGGTATATTCATCCTGGACGGATTGCCGGTCCAGTCTGGGGTAGGAGGGGGCGGAGAGGGACTTAGGAGGACCTCCCTGGCACTGTATGGGATGTGGTCAAAGTCTGGGCGATCTTGGATCTTCTACCTCCTCACACCTGCTGCCCCTGTAAGGCCTGGAGTCTCCAAGGGACTCGAAGGTGTGTTTTTGGATGCCACACCCAATGATGAGCAAGAGGAGGGGGGATGGGCGGGGGCCTTCGGTGGAGGGAAGAGAACCTGGAAAGTCACCAGTGGAAGACCGGCTTCTTAGAGAACCTCAGGTGTGACTGTTGCCCTTGGGGCCTCCCCCCTTGGCTACGGGTAGAGAAACAGGTGATGGTTAGCTTGGGAAAGTTTTCAGACATCTAAAGAAGTTCTGAATCCAGGTGGAGACATTGGTCTTGGCGTTTTGTGGGACTCTGAAGAGAACCCAGCAGCCAGTAGAGAGCTGGGTCTTTCTTACACCTATTTAGGATTATGGTAATGTGAAAACAAAGAACCGAGAGTTTTCTCCATTGCCTCCCATCCGCCCACCCAAATACTGCCCTTCCCCTTTGCTTCCTCCTTTGGTGGGGCACCAGGACCTGGCAAAGGGGAATATTTAGAGACAGGGACTAGACCTATGATTTCATTAGCATAGCGAATCCCAGTTGAGGGGACCCCTATCAATACATCTTTTCTGCAATTTATAAGCTTAGAGATTTGCCTGGAGTACTAAAAGTGTAAGTGATTTGCCCAGGGTTACCGTCACCAGGATGTGTCAAAACAGGATTTGAATCCAGGGCTTACTGATCTGGCCTTCTATTTACTACAACAGATTACCTCTCAGGCAGGAGGTTGCTGGTTAGGACTAGGGAGGACTTTAGTTGGGATTTTCAATCCCATGTTCTGTTGATAATTAGTGAAATATTCTTGAGGACATGAGAAGCCCTCATTGTCAGCAAAGATGAAGATGATTTCCTTGATCTTCCATCTCTGAGCAGTCCCAAACTTTGTCTGCATCATGGGGAGGGCTCTGGCTAGTCACTTCTATCTAATTGGGAAGGAACTCCCATAGATGCCTTTATAAACTTCAGGTCTTTATGCTACAAGCCATCCTACATCCTGCGTATTGACTTGGGCTTATTCAGAAAGTTGAAGCTTTTCCAGAAGATGCTTTGGTTGGTTGATATTGAAAAGAGAATTGCCAACATGAAGGATTGAGCTAGTTAGCTTCCTTTGTAGGAAGGCCTCCTAGACATCTGGTAGGCTTGAGTGGACCAGTTGTGGTTTCCATGACAGTGGGAGAAGGTGAGGTGGATGCTTAGCTGACTTTTCCAGAAGGAACAGCAAAGTTGCCCTTCCTTTTCCTCTCAGGTGTTGAAGAGGTGAGGGGAGGGCGAGAACAGCAAGAGATGGAGCAATCTGGACATTGTAACAAAGCAATTGGTTGTCTTCTCTCCGTAGTATTTTGTTTTGAAGTGATAGATCATAGCAATTATTGTTGACCCAAGAGCCAACTAAAGCAAAGAGAGATCTGATGGGGATTCCTGGCAGAATTTGGGACTATACTGAAGAGATCATTACTAGACCAGGAATCAGGGATCACAAAGTGGCTTCAAGAATAGGCAAGATTATTAGATTGGATAGTTTAAAAGAATGTTGTAAAAATGTTTTACCTGGATTTCGGCAAAGAAGTTGACAAAGTCAATCATGCTGCTTCTGTTAGAAAAAGATGGTGAGAGGTGGGTTAGACAGTCATACAAATAAATGAATTCAGAACTGGTCTAAAGCTGGACCCACAGAAGGATCATTAATGATTCAATGCAAGTTTGTTAGTAGGTCCCTAATAGAGTGTCTCAGTAGTCTATGTTTCTGAATACTTTTATCAGTGACTAGATAAAGGCACAGAAGGCATGTTTATCAGATTTGCAGATGACCCAAACCTGAAAGGAATGGCTAACAACTTAAGCTATGGGGACAAGATCTAAAACTCTTGACAAGGAGCTTGAGTTGACTCCATACTAATAGTAATAAATAGAAAATCTTATATGTGGGTTAAAAAAAATCAACTTTCGAGTTCAGGATGGATCATGAAGGAGACAGCATGGCATAGGGAAAGAATACAGAATTTGGAATCCAGGTAGGACTCAATTTGGCATCTTGGTTCTAGTATTTACTACTTATGTGGCCTTGGAAGAGTCATTTAAATATCCCTTGCTCTCAATTTTCTCATCTGCAAAATGAGAGGGTTGGACTTGATGATTTCTGAAGGGCCTTCCAACTCTCAATCTTAATCTGTGATCTATGTGGTTTTATTGTGGTTCATATGAATAAGATCTGGGGCTTTAGTGGATTGTAAACTCAATGTAAGTCAACAGAGCAAAGAAAGAGGTAAATCTTCTAGGAATAAGGAAGTGATAGTTCCATTGTACTCTGTTCTGACCAGACTGTATGTGGAGTATTGTGTTCATTTCTGAGTACCTTATCTTAGGAAGGACATGAATAAGATGTAGAGCATTGAGAAGAGAGCTACCAGGATGGGAAAGGGTGTATACACTCTGCCATATGAAGACTGGGGGAAGAGTCTACACAGTTTGGCGGACCGAGTGCTGAACTCGGAGTCAAGAAGACCTGCATTTGAATCCCAGTTGAGACAATTACTAGTTGTTTAAGAGCTGGGGCAAGTCATTTGATTTCTTTGGACCTCATTTTTAAAAATCTTCAATTCAATTCAATTTAATCAACTTTTCTCAAGTGCCTACTATGTGTCAGGCAGTGTACCGAGTGCTAGAGATTCAAGAGAAGCAAAACTCAGTCCCTGCCCTTAAGGAGCAAATGGAATGGATTCAGTAGCCTCTAAAGTCCCTTTAGCTACCACATTTTGATTCTATGAACTGGAGATGTTCAATGTGGAGAAGATGATATTGAAGGGGAACATGATGGATAACTTTTTAAAGGCTTTCTGGGTAGCGCAATGGATAATACTGGTCCTGGATTTGGGAAGACTCATCTTTCTGAGTTCAAATCTGACCTCAAACACTTACCAGCTAAGTGACCCTGTTTGCCCCAGTTTCCTCATCTATAAAATGAGCTGGAGAAGGAAATGGCAAACCACTCCAGTATCTTTGGCAAGGGAACCCCAAATGAGGTCACAGAGAGTGGGATACAACTGAAAAGACTGAGCAACAGCATGTGGAAGAGGGGTTCAACTTTTGCTTGGCTTCAGATGGCAGAACCAGGAATAGTGGGACAAAGTTGTAGAGAGGCCTTGGTATCAAGAAAGATCTTCCTAAAGAGAATTATTGAAAAGGGGAATGGACTGATTGTCTTGGGAGATAATGGACTCTCCTTCATTGGAGGTCTTCAACCAACACCTGAGGGGCTGCAGAGTATTCTTGTTTAGGTATAGGTTGAACCAGCTGGCCTCTGAAGTCTCCTCCAATTCAGATTCCATGAACTTTTGGAAGAGAGGTAGCATTGTATAGTGGAAAGAACGCAGAATTTGGAGTTGGGTTCTGGGTTCATGGCTTAGCTCTTCAAGCCACTTAATCTTAAATTTCTTCATCTAAAAAAGGAAGATTTTAGATTAAATTATCTCTAAGGTCCCTTCACATTCTAAATTTCATAATAGGTAGTGAAGATGTGCATCAATTCAATGGCATTTTAGAAGAGGAAAACTTTTCGTCTTTTATCAATTCAGACAAACATTTATTAAATGCTTACTATGTAATAGTCCCTACTATCAGTGCTGGGACTACTAAATTAGTATCCTGATACTACAATAAAACCTGCAGTTTCATCACTGTGGGGAAATCCCTCTATTAAAACTGATCACCAACCCCCTATGATGTAAGAGTTGGTCTTCAAGAGTTGCTATGGCCAAAATGTCTATGTCTATGTCTATGTCTGTGTCTGTGTGTGTGTCTGTGTCCATGTCCATATCTGTCATGACTGTGTCTATATCTATATTCATATCTATCCACACATATATGTACATATATAATCACATGCATATATATATATGTACAGGTGCACACACATATACATACATATATATGTGTGTACACACACACACACATACATATATATATATATATATATATATATATATATATATATATATACATATATACATGTGTGTGTGTGTGCATTAACTCTACAGTCTTCAAGAGTCATCTCCACACCAGACATTGGAGTAGGTCTTTAGCTCAGGCACCAGGGTCACAAAAATGTCACAAAAACAGTCTCTGCCCTCAAGGACCTTACCATCTACTAGAATATGGAATGTATGCCTTGTTCCTCGATTACTCCCCCTCCCTCTC